AAACAATCAGAACAGTAGCTAATAAACTCGGAAGAAGGTCTCACAGAATGGTGTTTGATAATTAATAGATGTTGGGGATGCAGCCCCTCTGAAACTGGAGCATACTGACTGTAAATTTAGTTCTGATCTAATTTTGGAAGCATTTCACTGAAATAATGTCTTACCTCTGCAGCATTTGTAAATATATTTGATATCTCTGTAGCATCAGAGGACAAAAACAGGTCAGTATATTTACTCAGTGATAAATGTTTGAACTAAAAAAAAAAAAAAATCACACTAAACTAGCTAGAATTTCACTTTGTTAATATTAAGACAAAGAGCTCTTTGGAGGAGGCAGTACATGAAGTTTTGCTTAGTTCTGTTTTATGAAATGATAGTGTCACTTCAAAGAATTTCTCCATTTCCGGTTGGTCAAAAAATCACACACACTACTCTGGAAGGCAGCTGTATGAAAAAATCCTTCAAAATAAGAAACAAGGATAATGACTTGCAACCTGCAGCCAAATGTGAGATAAAGGTGCCAAATCTGTGGTGATCCACATCTGAACTTGGGTTTTGTCACAAGTAAAATGAGTCTGTTCTGTTCACTATTGTTACTACCTGCCCTGTCTCTGCATCACAGCATTACCCTACAACATGGCACAATTCAGTATAATTGGCAGCCTCCAGAGAAAAAGAGACAACTAGAATATAGAAGGAAGAAGAGAAGGTCACAATACCTCTCAGGGATGAGGTGTACTCAGTAACTTCACACCTGCTCTTGCTTTGCCTGCATTTCTTTTCACCAACTTCTGGGATCAAAGCAGAAATCACAAATGCTGTACAATTTTCCCCTCAATAAAAGAAAGCCAAAAGGCAGACAGTCCCCTCTTACAGCTCACATCCCAAGTTAAGAATCATTAATACTCTTAATATACTACTAACAATGCCAAGTCTACAAAACATAGCCTTCTATGAAACACATTTTTATAAACAGCTAATATGAGGATGTCAATGCAGCCTTATTATCAAAGCTGAAGTATATAACAAGTTAGCCTTTGAAGAAACAAGAGGCATCTCTTTTTCCAGACCAAAAAAAAAAAAATTTTTTTCCACCAAGAACCCATTATTATATTTATAAAATCATTTAGCCCTCACCACATGATCTCAGCATAGCATCCACTCATCTCTAGCTAACACAGCTGAGGAAGAGAACACAAGCTGTTCTGTCTGCTTCTTTGCACTGCTGCCATGGTGCAGTCTAATAAGGGTGTACCATCTTACATTTTCAAAGACACATCCTTTTGCATTTCTAAACTGATAAAGTGACCATACACATGTGCATGCATGTATCGTTACAGATATACAAATATGCCTGTAGTAAAGGCATTATAACTTACTACGAACAGTACTGAAGAGAGCTTACAGGTAGTAACAGAAACAGAGTAGTAACAGAGCAGGTAGTAACAAGAAACAGCTGGAGATAGATGAGACATTGGAAAGAGCTGAGTTTCTTCTTGGAGGTTAAATTCAGAGTCTGATGTGATAAAAGAAAAAAAATCCTTTTGCTGCAAAAGAGCTGGGTACGTATGGGACCGTCATGAATTATGCACTTGAACAACTGCCCTTGGTCCCTTCAAGAATGAGAAACATTGTCAGTGATTACCAGAGGCACAGTATTTATTGTGACATGATGGCAAAAGATGGGAGGAGTTGACATGCTATATGCACGCTGCAAGAAAGGTTGGCCTGGATGTGACCAACTGGATACCAGTAAATCGTGAAGCCCAGAGGAGGAAAAAAAACCAAAGATTGTTTTTCTGTAGTAGAGCTGGCTTCTACACAGACACCAAAAGTAAAAGGTAGTTCTGAAACATTAGAACTAACGAAGCCCACATACCTACAGATCCATAGCTTATGGGTGATTGACTTCAATGTGCAAAAAGGTGCAAGAGCGAAGATTAAAGCTTTTCCTGTCATAAAGGCATTTAAGAAGTCTGGCTCTCCCTCTGTTCTCCATAGGTAGCAAGTTAAAAGTGAGTCTTTTGCTCAGAGGGAACTTCTACAGCCTCCCTCTTCCACCAGCTACCTATTCCATCCAACCCTGAAGAACAGTGTCTTTCAGCTTCTACTCCTCTGTTAAATCGGACTGAAGTTGGCTTACATACCCAGATCTATCGCTGGGGAAGGGAGGGAAAGCTTAAGTGACACAGATGTACTCATGTACAACAGGACCATTTCCTTATAAAACCCTTTCTTCACTTGAGGAATAATGGATCCTGAGGTTGCAATTTTTTTTTTAAGTCAAGAATAAAAGATTCTAGTACTTTATTATATCTTCTATGGAAATAGAAGTTCCTCCAGATTTCGTGAACCTCTATTGTTAAGGAGAAAAAGTGAAGATCTTTGTGGACCTAGAGCCTTCTATAGCACTTAAGTACACTACAATGATATTTACAATATCTAACAGTCAGTTCAGCCAAGCTTGTACTTCAATCACATACAAGTAGGCATAAAAATCCAAAGTCTTACTAATTCCTAGTTGTCTGATACAACACTTTGCAAATGACCATCCTTTCTTCTTTTCCACCTATTACTGAAAGACTAGTTTTCTGTATTACAGATTAGCTACTGTTTATCAGCGTGGCCATAATTCATTCACCCAGGCCAAACAGAATTGCACATTCATTATTAGCCAAACTTCTGGTAAGTCTCTGCAACCTGCATTTCCTTATCTGTACTTCTGTGGAGCTGAAGTTTTGATAAACATTGATTGCAAGAATGCACTCCAGCTCATGTACATGAAATGCTAAAAATATGAGCATGAATATCTAACACTTTTATGCTAATCATTAAAATGATCACAAATTGAAAACATACGATAGCAAAATCTGTCTTTTTATCATGTACAAGGAACATCACACAAAGCTATGTATGTTTCAGCTAGCTGCATCCAACTGAAGTATCACTTCTTTCATTAATTAAAGCAGCAAGGTTTTTTAAACCATAGGAAAGCTCACACTTCCAAAATATAAAGTCAAGAAGGTGTGGGAAGTAATTTGTGCAAAACTAGAGACAGTAGACTGACAGTGCACGCAAAAATCTATGGTACAGGCCATTCTAGAAAACAAAACATTTAATCAAGGACAGCACTGTCAAAATAGTCAATGTTTTTATACTCTGTGGAATTAAATGTAGGCTGTACAGCAGTAAGCCTTCCCCCCCGCCCCTTTTCTTTTTCTGAGTTCATAGCTGATTTTGGTCTTTAGAAGCAGCAAGATACCAGACATGCAAAAATACAGAAGGCTTTAAATGGAATTATTTGATGTGGCAAAACAGCTTTCAGGGACCGGAACCGTTTTGAAGAAAATTGTTTCCTGCTGTGTTAGAAAACTGTATCATCAAGAGTAAAGAAGAGGTTACCTACTTCGATATTACTGTTATCCATTATTTCCTTCCCTTACGCTATTTTAGAGTACATTATTCCTTTCCCTTTGAGTACCACAAACCAAGACAGCAGCACAGTCTTTCCACATGGTCAGCAGAACAACTGACTTGTATTTGGTCTTTTCTTAGCATTTTCTTTCTTGCCTTAAAATGAAATCACTGACTGCATGGATTTTATTTTCTTGCTAAGCACAGCATTTAAATAAGAGACCCTTATCTCTGCCTTTTGAAGTGGTGAGCTAACCCCCCTATTTGTTTTATTTTCCCTTGTGTTTTTACTTCCCTTCTATATGCATAGCAGTAAGTGATTTGTGGATCCTTTTCCCTTGGATACATGATTTATTTGGCTCAGTTACCACCACTTTAGTGTATTCTGCTACCCTACTGCCTTTGAGTCACCAGAATTCCCTGTTCCTCAACTTTCAATCCTCTGAAAACATAACCCTCCTACCATTACATTTTGTAAGACAATTTTCAGTTTCTGCTCCAAGTCTTCTGTCTCTCCCTCTACATTTACACTAGGTATTACGGCATAAGCACAGCTCAAAGCAATTACGATTATCGCCCTGAGTCCACACTCCTTATTCTTTTTTTTGTTCTGAACCGTTTCTTCTTTTCAGAAGTAATGCTACTTTAAGAATTGCTTTAAAGGAAGGTGGTGCATAAGAGAGGCTGCTTCTACAGCACGTCAGCAGTCAACACTTGTGTCAAGGCTGCATAACCAAGAACATTGTTTTCCCATTACAAGCTGATACTCAAACAGGAATCATAACATGAACAACAGGCAAAAATAATTCTATCCAACTGTATGGGAAGGCCTGATTTGGTTATCTGAATCTCAAGACCACATCAGCAGTGAGAAACAACTGAAACACTAATGCACCAATATGTATGTACCTTTAAGAAAAAAAAAAAAAGGAAGAGCTGTCTGACTGTTCAAAATGAAAATAAAGAACAACACCCAGAAGCAAACTGAAGTGATCATCTGAAGAGCCACTTAGCTGTATCTCAGCCTGTTTGCATGTCCTGTTATTTAAAATGCAGCCATTGCTTTTACAGTCCTCCCATTCCATTTTCCTCCCTAAGTCTCCCTGAAAGAGTCTGGACCTGCAAGAGAAACATGTCTTTGACAGCTGTGCAATTATTCTTTTTAAAATCAGTTAGGTACCAGTTCATGTTGTTCCTCAAGTGCAGTTTGAAAAACAAGCATCCTTATATACTTTTATGTATAATGGCACTGAGTAAAGTTTAACTTGCATTTAGAAAATAGAAGAAATAAATTCAGCTATTTTTCTTGAGTTAACAGAAGAACATGAACAGCTCAGCTAGCGTACCTCGGTTTCATTTCAACAAACATGTTTGTTACCTTTGCATGTTTGGGCGCCTGATTTTGCCTCTCCCATTCACAAAAAAAGATCTTCTGGCATAAAATTATATAGCAACGTACAGTATAGAAGAATCTGGTTTGAACTGTCAAATGGCATTTACTCAGAAATATGGTTATATATGAAAACCACAAGTATAACTTTTTAGATGTGGTATGTTGGAATAGGAGGAAAAAATACAGTTAAGACTGTTTCTATTTCCATATAGAACTTTTATTGCAATACCTGTATTCTAAGTGTACAGATACAAATATAAAATGACCCACGACAGACTTTAAGCCTGCCCAAATAGCAAACTGAGAAGTTAATTCGGTATTAGAGCCAAAGTTGACAGGACTTCAACAGGTGATAGGAAGCTTCCCCAGTCTCTCTTCAAGAACAACCAGGATCCATCATATTTTTGGTCCAAGATGTATGCTTTAAGTTGGCAGCTGAGTCTATGACCGAGTGTATTTACCCCAGATGTGCAGCATAAACACAGAAGCAATAAAAAGAAGACTCATGACCAAAACTGGAACAGGCCCACTAAAAATAAAGAAAAAAAAAATGTATTAACATAAAAAAAAAAGTCTGCTTTGTCCAAAGGCCAGTCATTATCAGCCAAGTGAACTCATCAGTTCATAAGCAATTGTATGAGAAAACTTATTCCATTCCCATAGAAATACCTAAAAGTACACAGAAATGAGACAGCCATCTCTATCAAAAACTGCTGCTGGCACTACATATTTAAAGATACAGTTTTACACACCCTAAATGTTACGTAACTATAAAGCACAATATAATAACAAAAAAACCCCACTTATTTAAAAAGTAACTAATGGGTCATTTTACCTCATCATTGTGAAAACCATCTCCAGAAAATTATCATCTGTATTTACTACTCAGATAGCCACCTGAGCAGAGACGTAGTCAGATACAAAAACCAACAGAGTCCTCTAGCGGCTAGTAAAATTTTGGCATAAAATTTGCATTAGCTGTTTTTTCAGAGGTTCTATTTCGTTTGAAAACAATGGCAGCAGTGGGTGAGAGACGGGGACTTCTGTTTTCTTGAAAAAGATACACAGAGTGTCAAAGTTAACTCCATCATTAAATCATTACCTAAAATGTATAAATTAACAAATTTCTTAACTTCTTTCCTTCCCACTTTTATACATCATTTAGAAATTGTATAGTGATTTTTTAAAAAACTGTTTAATCTTAGGGTGCATGTTGAGAGACTAAATCAGCTGTTTCACACACTTCTGAGACACAACAATTACGCGCACTCAACGCTGCTTCGTACCACCCACTTCATACAATCTCATTCCTGATTTTCAGCCTGCTATTGGGAGAAACACCATGAATTCTGTTATCCAGCCTGGATTACCCTCCAGATTACTGTTTATAAGCAGGTAAATGTTACTTGAATACAAAGTAAAAAAGAAACTGAAAATGGATTCAAACAATTTACTAACATATTTTTCTATGAGATCACGGTCCATGTACTTCAGATGTTCATAACTACAATCTTACACTAAGTTTTAAAACTCAATTATTATTTATCATACTCAGACTTATTGGGGTATGGAGAACCCTGAACACAGACATAAAGCATTTGGCAAATAAACCAATGACAAAACGCGCAAAATAAAGAAGTCCGCACACACAGTGAGTACATAAGCAACCCCTATCAAGGGATATCTTTCACTAAGCAACAGAATGCACTTCTCACTCCTTAGTGTTTTATACATATTTGAAGTTTATGCCCTGCATAATATAAATCGTAATGGTACCCGGTGCACAAAGTCCTTGCACTGTATCGGAATTACTATTTAATTCATTTGAGCCTTTAGTAGTAGTAATATGTAAGCTACTCTTTGCCAAAGGCACACAGGAATAGAGGAGCACCACCAACCACAGAGTGGCATGGAAATAAAACAGGGAGGGACTGTTTGTGTGTTTGGTGTCTTTTTTAAACATGCAGATGACAGTGATCCCCCTGGAGAATAATCAGGTTTCCAATACTGACATGTATATATCATTTCCTCCAGCCCCAAAGACAACCTGCTGAAACCCTGCAATTCTCCGCCAAACACCCAAATCTTCTCAGCCCACCACACAGTTTAAATAAATAAAAAACACAATTCAGGCACCTCTAAAGATTTGGTGCTATGCATTCTCAGAATGTCTTTCATAAGGCTGCATATTATACCACAAGCCCCATTTGATTCTCTACCATGGCTCCACAGGAAACACTGCCCGTAGCTCTTTAAGCAAGAAAGCTCAAGGAAAGATACAGGAACCACAGCTACCAAGTGCCACACAAAGAGGAACAAGTTTGGGTTTAGTCTTCTTTTCAACGTATGCGAGGCTTGATCTGAGTTTTAAAGAGAAAAATATCATATCCCACTCTCAACCAGATCCCCCACAGCTCCCTTTTGCTAATACTGTTTTTAAAGACAGATATTTTGTAGCATCACGTACTGCAGATCAAATGTACTTTCCTGAGGCGAATCAAACTTGCTTATTCAACATATTTATTGGTTCTGATGTTGAGTACAGATACTAAATACCTGAAGCATCAGAGGTATAATTATGCACAATATAAAATTTGATCTAGAGCAGAATTCTCCTGATCATAGCTAGCATGAAATAGCCTGTTCTCAGGTGTTTTCCTGTATTTTTTCATAGTAATTTTAAGAAAACACACACACAAAAAAGCCCAAACACCAGCAGGCTAACCTTTCACAATGCTTTATGCAGTAGTGATCACAACCACTTTTAAAAACAGCTTCAGCTGAAGCACTTTACTGAGGCAACCACAACCCATTTTCATTTTTAAGCCTACTGGATAGGACAGAGATCGTAATTGGTTGCTATGGAAAAAAAAAAAACCATACTTAGAAAAATACATGGAAAACTATACGCAAGAAAGTTGCTCCCAAGCCCTGATTCAGAAAATGTTACATCTAGTGTGCAGGTAATTTGTAAAACCAACTACAGATTTGTTTCTTCCACTAAAAGCCTGACCATACAGCCACCCACAGTAGCTTGCAAAAAACCCACTCCCTGTGTTCCAAAATGTTAAAATTGGGAAACAGTGTTGCAACATAAATAAAAGGGAAAATCTATCTACTGACCTGCTTGTACTGAAGATTAGAACAATTGAGTGGCCGTTCAACATCAGAAGTGAAACCAAAGGATTCACAAGGAAATGTACTGAAATTGGTAAAGCTGCTTTGATAGCTTGTATCACAAGTCTGTTGAAGAAAAAAATCTACCTAATGGTAGAACACTTCTGGTTTTTCTCAGTTTGGTTTTATTCATTTTTCTAAATTGAGCTTTAGTAGACCAAACACAGAAAATAGTTGCCTTGCCTGTCTGCACAGATTTACTCAAGAACACTATCATTGCTCATTATCTTTCTCTCCTTTGCCTTGCCTCCTCTCCGGATTCAGAATGGAGAAAGCAGGACCTGCAGCAGCAGAACACCACTGCTTCGATGGTTTGCTGTATAGTTTTATATCTTCTAAAGTGTCAAGCACATATGAAAATGAAAACACATAAGACAACTTCAGAGGAAGGATTACTCATGGAACAATCACTAACTAGACTATCACCAGCCCTTCCCCAAATGTTCTGTTTGTGCAGCCAGCAGCAGCCCTCTTAAAGGGCTCCAACATAAAATACTAATGGATTCTAGAAAAAAAGAAGCAATAGGGACATCCCTGAGTGTCTTGAATCTCTTCAACCCAGTAAGAACAAGAAGCCATACAGTGTAACTCTACAAGAAGCACAAAATCCCACTCAAGTTATGACTTAGCACGCACCCATCAGTTGAAATATCCCTTCTACCTTTGTTACCCAAGCATTAGGCTACAAAGCTTGTTTGGGAAACTGATCTGAATGAGTCAAGCTGGCCAAAAAGGAAAAACTTAGGCTCTCTTTACAGCTTAAGGGATGCTACCACCAAATATTTAACCATAATCTTGGAATATTCACCTCAGAGATATACAAGGTATCGGAATGCTATTTGCTTTGCAAGCTTAGCTAAAATAATTTATCTTCAGCTTTTTAATAAAAACACCTGAGATTCTGCAAACATGTGGCATATCAGTTACATTATGTTTTCAAGGGGGGTGGGGGGTGCAGGATCACAACATACCTATTAACAAAGAAAAAACAACAGTTTTAGTTAAAAGAGAACAAAAACATGCATGAAGATGCCTAAATTCACTGTGACAAGGAATCTTTCCCAGCTTCAAAGTGATTGCTTGCAGTCTTCAAAAACCACTTAAGGTAAGTCTCGGCAATTACAAAATGTAACTTGTACCTACCTTTTTAAAGCCACTATAACTTTAAAAACTACCTCTCCAGGTTTACAGATTAAATAAAATATTTCATCCCAAATGTATCTAAGCAGCCATCAATTCAGCATGTTTTCCCATGTAGACCAGAACATTTGAGCTCACAATTCAAAGACTGAAAGACTACATAAGCAGGCGAAATACACAGCCCCCACGCCTGCCACCACCTGTATATCCAACTTACACTTTGAGCCCTGGAGAGTCCTCAGTGTAGAATCGCCACATCCCACCGGTACCTGTGGAGGTGGCACGGCCCGCGCTTCTTGTCCCGCAGCTGGCATTCTTCCTTTAGGGGGTAACAGAATGAAACCAAGACCAAAACACATTAGCGCTCTGCCAGCTTCTAGCACTAAGCACCCCAAGAGACTCCGCAGAAGCAAGACAGTTGCCTCAGCCCGTATAGCCAGGCAAGCAGAGGGCACGATGGCTGGCACAGCACCGCCTGGGGCTACAGCCAGGTGCACCGAGGACCGAGGAGTTAGCCCCGCAGGAGCCCTGCCTGCACACCCCAGGGAAGCGAACAGCTCGGCCCCTTTCCACCGTCCCCCTCCTGCCCCCCGCTGGGGCCGCCCAGCCACACGGCACTAGGGACAGCGAGGGGAAAAGGGTTGCCCCCACCACGAAGACGCCGCGGGCACCTACCTCTGGCGGACGGTGGAGCCCGCCGCGCGGGGAGCCACGGCCTCGCTGGGGGAGCGGCCGGCCGAGCCGACGCTTGTGGCGCTGGGGTTGGGCCCGGGCTGCGGAGAGAGGAGAGAAGCGAGAGGGGGTGAGAGGCGGCGGGCACGGCCGGGGGGGAGGGAGCGCCCC